ATTCCAGCTGAAATAAAGTATTTAACAGTAATAGAAAAGTAGCTCTGGGACAATAACATATTGCCTGTTTTTAAAGCCTCCTTGAATAGCCAGAACTAATGGGAGAAAAAACAGGGTCAGTCGATAATGGATTGAAGTAGTGCCCAATGAGCTGCTTTATTTTTTTTTTTATATTTTAATCTGTTATATTGAGTTATAATATCCTTCATGTTCCAGAAATTCCAATGTATATGAAAACAATTGGTGAAAAAAAAGCACATGTGCACAGTTCCCTTCCTTCACATGCCTATACACTCATGCCCATCACTATGGAGACGCATGTCTTCTAGGTAGGAACAAACAAATATACATACCAATACACTCATTGCCATTGCTATTGAGATACAAGTCTTCTGGGCAGGAACAAACAAAACCGGATGTTGCCATGGGAGACAAGAGACAGAAATGACTGCAAACCGGTGCTCCATCTTTCAGACATACATTAGAATCTAATGAAAAATTACCCAATCAAAAAAGTGCAATATTGTTTTGAAGAAGCATGCAGATCTAGGAATACTTCAATACATAGGGCATGCTCTTGTCTTACTTTTTTAATTTTTTTTTGCAATCACATTGCAGAGCACAAAAATATCTTACATTGGAAGTTCCAACAAGTAGCCTATTGTCTGAGATAGCTCCGCTGTTAGCAATGCACATTTCAATTAAAGAACTGAAGATATCATTAGAAAATAAACAATATATATAGTATCAAAGCCATCGGACTTGTTGTTTTCAACAAGAATCACTTTTTACCAAAAATATTCACCAAAATTAGAGAATTAAATAAATCATCATGAAATGAACAAATCTAAGAGGTTTACCCAAGGTACATACACACCAAGTATCAAAGCATTCAGGCTTGTAGTTTTCAAGAAGAATTCGAAAAAGTAAAATATTGACACGGACGAGGATGGACAATCACTCATATGATAAGCAAAGTCGACAGTGGAGCTAAAAAGTGACCAAGTTAAACAGACTGACATGGTTCCTGTCAGTTTCTGGTTAAATTGAATTGAGAACACAAGACAGAATGATGTCATGTGAATATCACTGAAACAATCAGCAAATTGGTACTAGTATGCATGTGAAAATCATTATGTCTTGCCCGTGTACCAAATTTAAACAAAATGTGCAAGAACACTTAAAAATAAAAATACCCCCCCCCCCCAAGACAGACATTTTGAACCATATCATACAGAAAATACACCTAGATTGTTAACCAACCATGTGTGATATTAATAAGTTTAAATGAAATCTGACAAGGCGATGATTAATGAAATGTTATTGGGACAATAATTGACTGCTCGTCTGTCAAATATCAATGAAACCAAAAACAAATGGGCCAACATGCACGCGCCAATAAATCATGAGGAAATCAGACGTATGCACAGACCTAAAAATGGTCTCCGTTTCAGACTTCGTCCTACAGAAACTAATTTAAGATGATATATAAATCACCAAACTGATACTCACCTTCAAGACGTGGTTGTCTGAGCTCATGAAAAACTTTTACATCTCTTGGCTTCCATGTTGCCAAAATAACTGTATCATTATGTCCAGTGTATTTATGAGCACTATGGATTGTGTTGGTTGCTGAATCAGACCAGTATACATTGTTCTCAAATACAGTCAAAGCAAATGGATAAAGCAAGCCAATTTCTTTCACAACCTGTCGATCTTTACCAGCTAAGTCACAAGACTCCAGTAACTGAAATTGAACAACCCATTTCAATATCATGTTAATAAAATTACACCATATTTTGCCCATTTGTTTTAACAAGATTAAGGACCAAAAAATAGTGAATAAATATAAATTACTCAACAGTAAACTAAATCTTTTTGTAAATATGTAAAAATATATATGTAGACTCCTATTATTTTTCCATTTCATATTTATTTATAGTGTCATGAAATGTTATTGCTACATATTTATAGAAGCTTGTATTTCTAAAAATGCAATAAACTACATGTATATTACGGTATTTTAGCAGTACAATTATGCTAATGAGCATGAAGAAATCAATCTTGTAAAGCACAAATATGACTTTAGTATTCAGAAAAAAACAAGCAATTCATGTCAGATTCCAAGATTAACACTTCAGACATTTAGTGTTGTGTTCTATTTCTGTATTGTGACCTTTGACCTAGTCTTGTCTTGTAATTAATTATGCGGGCAAGCTCAGTAGTGCCCAGCAACCAAGAGTTCTGTCATCACTTGGTTAAATTAAACAAACCAGTCCTTTCCCTCAGATAAACCGTCACAATGATTCTTTAAGAACATTACATTTAGTTACTTTGAAAATTAGATTACAGATGTGCAAGATCTGATTCCAGACATTTCATAATGATGTCAGCAGCCATCTTTGATTGGATGTCTGCCATACATGGTATGGCGACCAGTCCATCACATCATGCATCAGTAACCCTGCATGTTCTACCAAATCTGAAGAAAATGCATGTCCGAAAAAAAGTTTCATAAAACTCTGACATTATAATCATTCTTCATTTTTTAAAAAAACAATCAAACAGGTCTTGGAGGCTTTGAACAAAAACAATCTGATTTGAAAAACGATTTAACATGCACATGTTAACTATTACGACTTGTTACTACAGCAACTTTGAACCCAATCTGTCAAAGTATGTTAGGTCAAAATTAGATCAAAAATGGCCAACAGTCAGCCATAATTGAACAAATCACACAATCAATGCACATGCCCACAAGTCCTATATAAGGTACTAGCTAAATTTGAGTATTCATTAGAGAATCGACTCAAAGATGTCGAAGACAGAGCACACACACACTAAATCAAAGAAAGCTTAGAAAGAACTCCCATGTGCTGAGAGTATTGGAGACACATTAAATATAATTCGAAATTACTGAGCTGAAAACTAATTATGCAAATCAGAAAATTAATATAAACAGATTTGAGTGTAAAACTAATGAGGTCTGCGCAATGTAACAGAAAATCTATGTACCAAGTTTAATTGAAATGTGATTAGAACCAAAAAATTATGAATTATGCTAATTAGTTAATTAATATGAACAGATTATTACCCTCAAACTAATTAGGTTTGTACATTGTCCTAGAGCATCTTTGTACTAAATTTCATTGAAATGGAATAATTAGTACTTTAGATATCAGTGTGAAAGTTGGAAATTGGTTAATTATGCAAATTAGGTGATTAATATGCACACATATATACCGAAAACTAATTGGGTCTCTGCATAATACTAGATTCATTGAAATGTGATGATTAGTACTTTAGATATCAGTAGAAAAGCTGAAAATTAATTATGCAAATTAGGTAATTAATATGCACAATTATTTACCCTAAAACTAATCAGGTCTCTGCATAAGCCTAAAGGATCTATGTACCAAGTTTCATTGAAATGCGATGATTAGTACTTG